AAGCAGTATCTGAATGCTTGGACCTAGAGTTGGAAGAGGCTTATTTTGCTGGGGATTGCAGTATCTCAAAGAAGTTAAAATTTCTGAAACGCTGGATGAAGCAGGTTAGGAAACATAGTACCTGTAGTCCTAGGATGGCAGAGAGTACCATACCAAATCGGGATGTTGAAAAACAAATAAACCACAGGCTAAATGAGCTGCCTCAAGAAAGTCAACAGCCCGTCTCTAATTCTGCCTCAATGGGAGAGGTTTCTTCCAGAATATCAGATGAAGCTGCTAATGATTTCTGTTCGGGTAACTTATGAAAATTTCTTCAGTAGTCTTCCAAACAAAATTCAACAAGGACTTGAATCTAAAGAATTAGACTTGGGGACCATTGCAGAACGACTTGTAAATTCATCTATCTATTGGTTATGCCAAAAGCACAAAATGGAAAACGGTTTGGAGGGTCAAACCCATTTTGTGAAATCAGATGATGCTTGTCCTAGCACAGTTGCAGTTGAACTAGCAGACTTTTACAGAAGGAGTCAAAGGTCTTGGCTGCCATGCACAAAAAGAGGAGTCTATCCTACCAGGCACCTGTTCTGGGATTTGGTGAATCTGCTTCAGTTGATATGGTTAGAGAGTATCCTTTCTATGTTCATGTTATATGTTATATCTGTATATTACTGTTAAACTTGGTTCTCATATTTCCCCATTACTGAATAGTTCATTTTATTCATCTTTACGCTTGGTTGTGGGTTTTCTATTGATCTTAGGTGATGGACACTTGGCTCAACTGCTACAGATTTCCTTAATAAGCATAAGATATGAATTGTAGATTTTGTTTCGCATGGAAACTCTGCAATCAGAGGTTGGGAGAATTATCGAGGAGCTTTTGAAGCAAAAGTTTGTAAAACAGATTACCTTGCTTTTGGAGTCCATCCAATGCCATCTGGATGGTGGCTTTTTCGGTGACTGGCAACTAGATGATTATGTGGGAAAAATCATAAAGAGCAGGTATATATATCTTTGCATGGATGAATGTCTATATATTTTTTTTTTTTCAACTACAACTGTTATATCAATACTGTATGAGGGAAAGGTTTTCTGTGACCATAATTCATGGTGCTCCCTAACAGACAGTTGATATCTTAAAATTCTACTTGGATGAAGCATTTAACACATTTTTAATGTGATCTTGCATAATTACCTTAAAAAATGGACAGTGCTTAAAAAGGGTCTGCTCTTTAACATAGTTTCTTTCTGAATGTCAACTTGACCATTTATGCTTTTCTTCATTTGCAAGCATTCCATTATTGCTTCGCATAGGAGACCGATCAATTGAACTGAATAATCTACAATGAAAAATAAAATCAAGCAATTGAACTGAATAACAATTGAAATGCATGATTTCAGGTATCATCACACTCTTCTTAATGTAGTTGATAGAATCTATACGAAAATGGATTTGTTGCTGTTCGCTGAGGATGAAATCCCCAGCTACCCATTCAACAGTGAAGATAGTAATGAT